GGACTAATGCGGTATTCTATATTAAAATACGGTAATTAGGAATCCAACAGTTTTCTTAACAAACTGATGATACTAGGACTAATGCGGTATTCTGATTAAAATATGGTAATTAGGAATCCAACAGTTTTCTTAACAAACTGATGATACTAGGACTAATGTGGTATTCTGACTTTAGTGTCATCAGTTTGTTAAGAAACTGTTGGATTCCTAATTACCATATTTTATCATCAGTTTGTTAAGAAAACTGTTGGCTTCCTAATTACCATATTTTAATCAGAATACCGCATTAGTCCTAGTATCATCACTTTGTTAAGTAAACTGTTGGATTCCTAATTACCATATTTTAGTCAGAATACCGCATTAGTCCTAGTATCATCAGTTTGTTAAGGAAACTGTTGGATTCCTAATTACCGTATTTTAATATAGAATACCGCATTAGTCCACTAGGACTAATACGGTATTCTGATTAAAATATGGTAATTAGGAATCCAACAGTTTTCTTAACAAACTGATGATACTAGGACTAATGCGGTATTCTATATTAAAATATGGTAATTAGGAATCCAACAGTTTTCTTAACAAACTGATGATACTAGGACTAATGCGGTATTCTGATTAAAATATGGTAATTAGGAATCCAACAGTTTTCTTATCAAACTGATGACACTAGGACTAATGCTGATATCAACATCATTATCACTAAACTGTGGTATATTGTAAATAATTCTAATATCATCATATTTTAAGGATACTAACACTGAAATTTAGTGTATTGTTACTATGATTTTAATAGCGTCATATTTTAAGGATATTAACAATATTACCACTGAAATGTTTTTATCGCTAATAGAAGTTCCTTTGGTAAAAAAAAAAAAAAAAGGACCCTTTAAGTCATTATAGTTTTCGTCTACAGCGCCATCTACTAGGTATTCTTCAAACTCGAAAAACGTGACTTAATAACGAAGTATGAGGAAGCACTGTTCCTGCTAACTATACTTTTGCTCACTAGTTTCTGGCAGCGCCCCATAGTGGCACAGTGACATGTCTGTGGACTTACAACGATGCCCGTGGTGGGCGGAGGACAAATAGCCCATTGTGTAGCTTTGTGCTTAATTACAAACAAAAGTTTCTGGCGATGAATGATAGTCGAAGAATTAAAAACGTTATCTACTTTTATTCAGCTCGATGCTGTTAACAACTTATAAGTATTGATCTAAACCTTTTCTTTACCATATCTCCAAAAGCACTCCTCATTGAGAAAGGCTGCATGTCAGAATCATACAAATTGAGATGAACACGAATCAGGGGCGTAGACAACCCATGTGTATTGCGCCATTAAACCCCCACCGCCACCTCGAATCGGTGTCTATTTCTACTAGACTAATAACTCTCCAGTGGTTCAGCGGTAAGCTGAGAACTTATAACACTCAAAATTCTAGTTTCATACTTAAAGTGGCAAAATAGTCCACAAACTGGACGAGGGGTTCAATTGATAAACAAAGTGTCGTTGGTACACTTTTCACTTCATTGTTACTGTAGGCCTTTTTTTTAATTAAATGGGATTTCAATTATTAATTTAATTGTCTTATTTTACCTCTGAATAAATATTATCAGTAAGTTTGATTAAAGGATACTTCCTCCATATATCAGAGCTAAACATTAGCCCATTAAATAACGTAGTAAGTAGGAGTATGTAGTGCCATAAAACATAATGCTTAAATTCAATGGTCAGTCCATCACGAGGGTATACTTTCTATTATCGACATTTTCGGCCGTAATCCTAATAATATCTCAGAAGGCTCATTTATCTCAGGAAATTTAAAGTAGTATTCAATCTATATCTTAAGCTAACAATAAAAATTAATCTTGAGAACAAAAACAACGAAAAAATTATTAAAATAAATATATTTCTATATTCGAAATGGTGTATTTAAATGTTTTACACTCACAAAAAAAATACACCTATCATTCTATAGGTATTTGAAGAACTTTTAGCATTCCGCCACAATTTAATTCTTCGTATTGTTAGCCGACACTGGGCAGCTGTAGTATATAATTGAATTGAGTTGTTTAAACATTTGTTTAACAACAAGTAAAAGCTTTGAATGGTCTATTCTTTCATTGGGGGTGTGTCTGTG